GAACTATAAAAATATGGTCTATATTTAGGTGAAATATAAGTCCTGAAAATATTACCAGAAATAACAGTGGTTATGGGATAAAGAATTTAAAACAGCTAATATAAATAATTTCATGACGTACCATGTAAACATCTTTGACAGTTTAAATACATTATTAAGTATTGTTTTTGTCAATATAGTGTGAAACAAAAGTATATTTAAACTTCCAATAATTTTTTTCACTCTATTTGAGGAAAGCTTATTCCATAATTCATATATCAATATAAAAGAATATTTCTAAACATATGATGTGCACAGGTATTTAATGACATGACACATTAGAACTCAGAGTTTATCTTTTATATTAAAAATATATGAAATTCATGTAAGTCTGCATGCTTCGTAAAAAGTCAATTTGATGAAATGTAATAATAATGGTTTGGTGGAGGATGTCTACCTAACTTAGATTCAGGTCACTGGACTGTGTTCTGCCACTACCTTGCTTTGTTTGTTATTAATATACCTAGGCCTTAATGTACACATCTAGATAATGTGGGGATTCTTCAAAATAATCTATTTACCTTGAAATTCAAAGATAGAGCAAACTTATATTTTTGTTATAGTTTGAATATCTCAATAAATAAAATTGTGTTACAAGAGTCATCAGAATGATGAAGCAATAAATGCTGAGAAGAATGTTAGCTATTAAATGATTGTAGTATTGTAAATTATATGTATACCTTTCAAATATGATTCTTTTGATGCTACAAATATAAAATGAAATAAATTTTGGGCAAAATTTTCTTATTCTGAACTTTTTAGACAATAGCTACTATTTGGTGATTTTGAGAGCTCTTGACTAGTGCTATCATTTCATCACTATATAATATAATACAAATATAACATAATATTATATTTATATAATCTATCACATAGTCACTATGTATAATATATTATATATAACATTGTATACATTGTATTATATGATAAATATTTATAAACAAAATCAATAGACATAAAAAGGAAACTGAAGTTCTAATCTGAAATCTCATTCTTGTCACCGCAATGAAAATTAGACATTTAACTCATTTTCTGATGTCTAATTTGTCTTATGTAAACATAGCCATTCCAGCTTTTGTGATTAAATATTCCATTATTTTACTCTTAACTAGTCTGTATTTTTATATCTAAAACGGGTCTCTTAGAGGCAGCATAGCATTGAGTTTGATATTTTTGTCTGGTCTGACAGTCTCTATCTTTTTATGTAAGGGTTAGACCATATTAATTTAATGATTGTCAATACGGTTGTGTTTAGAACTTTCATGTTATTATTATTTTATTTTCTTGCTGTTATTTTATTTTTCTTTTTCTCTCATCTTGCCTTATTTTCAATTAGACCTATCAGTTTTATATCTTTTCATGATTCACATTTCAGCTTCACAACTGGTTTAGATGGGAGGCAAAAAATTACTTCTCAAAGATGCTCATATTCTAATCTCTGGACCTGTTATATTACATGGCAAATTGAACTAAGATTGCAGATGGAATTAAAGTTATGAATTACCTGACTTTTAAATAAGGAGATTATCCTGGATTATCCAGATAGGCCCTATCTAATCACATACATTCTTAAAAGTGGACATCTTTTCCCACCTGTATTAATAAAGAAATGAGATGGTAAAGGAAGTGGAAGAAATGGCTTTGAAGATAAGGAAAGAGACCACACGCCTAGAAAGATGGATGGTGGCTAGGTGGAAATTGTCCTCCAGTGATAGCCATCAAGGAAACAGGGGCCCCGATACTCTAACTTCAAAGAACTAAATCTTGCCAATAACCCACTGAACAAAGAAACATTCTTTGACACGGCCCCAAAAAAGGAACTGCAGATACCTTGATTTTAGCGTTTTGAGATCTCTGTTGGACTTCTGGTTTACAGAATTATGAAATAATGAATTAATGTTAAGGTATTAAATTTCATGGTCATCTGTTACAGCAACAATAACAAACTAACATAGTTAATTAACTATATTTTACTTTTTGGTTTTTTCCCTAGGGTTTATAGTATACATCATTAACTTATCACAATGTACCTTCAAATAATATTGTAGCACTTCACATATGCTGTAAGAAATTTACCAGAATTCACTTCCATCCCTACCCCAGCACACATGCATTTCATGCTATTAGTTTCATTCATTTTAATTCTACGTATGTTGTACACTCCACAGTACTTTGTTACAGTTTTTTTTCTAAACAGCTCTTTAGCTTTTAAAGTGATTAAAATGACGTGAAAAAAGTTTTCTATGTTTACCTATATATGTAGCATTTCTGGCCCTCTTCATTTCTAGATGTAGATCCAAATTTCCATGTGGTATTATTACATTATCTGTCAAGAAATTATTTTAACAACCCTTGAAATCTTTCAGCTTTACATTGTGTTTAGAAGACCTTTCTTTTAGCTTAATTTTTGAAAGATGATTTTGCCAGGTATAGCTTTTTTCTTTGTTTAAGCACTTTAGAAATATTCCATTGTCTTCTCGGCTTCATAGCCTCTGAAGAGAAGCTTGCTGCCATTCTCATCTTTGTTTCTCTGTATAAAATTTCTCCTGTTTTGGTATTTGTTCTGGCTGCTGGTAAAGTTTTTGTTTTTCTTTTTGATGCTTGCTTTCACCAATTTGTTTATGGTGTGCTTTAGTTTCGTTTTCTTTCTTTCTGCTACTTGATGTTAATTGTACTTTGTGTATCTGTGCATTTGTAATAGTTTTCAAATTCAAAAAGTTGTAAGTCATTATTTCTTCATATAATTTTCTGAACCCCCACACTTTGAGTATTCTTCTGGGACCCCAATATCTTATATGTTAAGGCAAGTGACATAGTCCTACAGTTCAATAAGGCTCATGGTTGGTTTTTCTTTTTCATATTCTTTCTCCTATGTGCTTTATTTTGGATAATGTCCTTCACATGTCTTCAGATTCAAGGATTTTTTTTCTTCTGCAGTGTCCAATGTGCTTTCAATACCATCCAGCATGGGTTTTGTTTCATTTATTGCATGTTTCATTTCTAGACATTCTAGTTAGAATGTTGCATATAGTCTCCAGACAGAAAACCCTAATTGGCAAATCTGTAGCTCATGCTATTCTGCTCAGTTTCTCTGGGCAGTTCCTTCAACCCACAAAACCCTGTAACACATATCTCATCTACTTCTGCACCCTCCAAACTGAGTCTGACCTTTCAGAATTGGTTGAATCCCAGAGAAGTTTTTGTCTTTCATGTGTTTGGCTGTACCCAACTCTCTTTCCCCAGTGCTCTTTTCCTGCCAGCCATAAGATAGATAACAGATACTCATTTTGGAATGAGATGGCCATTTCTCTATGCAGACCCTTGTATACTTTGGATCGAGGGCACACTAGAAATCTCAAACCAAGTTTGCTTTATTCATGTAATCCTTGAGCATTTGGCAACTTCTGGTAATAAGAGTAGTTTAAACCAATATCTCAAAATATGCTGTTTTAAAAATTTGCTTCAAGATAATAGGGACATAATCTACATTTTTAACCTTACATTTCCAGAACCAAGGTAAATGCTTACACAGTAAATAGGAAATAAGGAATTCATATTTACTGTTTGTTTGAGTAGGATAACTCTGTTTTGATTCTATAAACAATTTTACAAAGAGAATTTAAACAACACCAAAAAAAAAAATAAACACTGCAATTCTTTCTCTAAACTTTTATGAAAATGCCAGAAATACCTCTTTCACCTACATATTCCCATTTTCTAATATGCTGATTCACAGATAGCATTAAACATCTTCTGAAAAATAATAAAATAAATTCCCAAAAGTTTGTGAAATTATACGTTTTTCAAGCCCCCAAATATCCAATTTAATTTTTAATCCTAAGTATTTATATTTTTATTTCTATCATTTTTATAACTCAAAGTATAACAAGAAAAAAACTATTAAAATAGATTTTGTATTACTAGAACATAAAATTAGCTACAAAATCTGAGAGAATTGCATTCATGAATCTTTAAACTACTCTTCAAACACTGTTGTTGAAGATTACATCTTTTGATACTCTCTTCATAAGTCCCCATGTCTCCAATACATCCTCTCTTCCATGCAAGTAACTGAGTTATTCATTTACTTTCACTTGTAATGAGTAGGAAAGAGAAAATTAAACAACTAGATGAGCAACATACAAATTAGAGCTCACTGAATCCCTAAAAATAAGAATTGTTAAAAGCAAATTTTTAAAATAGTTCAAAACACTGGCGTTACATCTGATGCTATTTAGGACACTGAGGTTAGTGAGGTCTGCAGCTTACCAGGGGTTACCCATGTGGAATAGTGTGTAGCTTGAATACAAACCCAGTTCCATCATCTCTCTATACCTGCTCTATCCAGTGCACCATCTGGCCTCCCATAACAACACATTTGCATTTGTAAAATTTCCTTGAGGGAAGCAGGAGACCAAGTAGCTGTGTAAATTACGTGATGACTATTCTTTCTCTGGTCAAAAGGTTTATGTGAAATAGCACAGTGACCAACATATAGGGCATTATTAAAGTTATTACTTATTTTGTGTAAAGTATGCTTTTAAGATATTATTTTCAGTTCTGTGAGTAAATATATATTTTATTTTTTGTTTATAGGATATTTTAAAATAATATTTACATATATCTAATGAGATGTTTATCATGATATGCTGTTTATTTAAAGATGTTTGATCAGTAAAGTAATATAAATAATATATAATTATAATGGTAACTGCCATTGAATGAATGACTAATTAGTACAAGATGCTTTCTGGTTAATTAATTCTCACAACTATCCTGAAATGTAGAAACTACTATATCCACTTTAATTTGAAACAAATTCCTCATGATGAATTTAATGCTTTACTTCTCTGACTATTCATTAGATATCCTACACTAGCTACCTGCTATGTTGACTTATTTTGCTTTCTGCTAATGGTGTCTTTCATATTTAACTAATTATTTTCTCGCTTTGCTTTTAGGATTTGATACCAGTATCTTGCCAATTTGCAAGGACTCACTTGGCTGGATGTTTAACAGACTTGATACAAACTATGACCTGCTATTGGACCAGTCAGAGCTCAGAAGCATTTACCTTGATAAGAATGAACAGTGTACCAAGGCATTCTTCAATTCTTGTGACACATACAAGGACAGTTTAATATCTAACAATGAATGGTGCTACTGCTTCCAGAGACAGCAAGGTAAAAGATGAGACCCCTACAGATGCAAATAGTTGACCTGCATGTCAAATTTTACTTATTTTTTACGATAATAAAATAGTACACTATGCTCATTCATTTTATATACGTTTTTGTAATTCAAGTGTTTAATAAAAGAGCAAATAAGCAGCTTGTTGAGCAAACAACTCTGCCAGAGATGCGACATATGCTAAATAAGATGAAAAATAGTAATTAATATTTTATATTAATGCACTGCATTATAGTTTCCATTATGAGCCACCAAGAAGCACATAGAGATATAAGAACATAGATATTAAAAGTAATCATTAAAATTAATTTGCTATCTGCTTTGCCCACAATGTAAAATAATGAGTTTTTTATCACTATACTGTGGAGTTTTAATGTTCTATTTTGTGATCGTATTAAATGAGTTGAGTGAACCAGAGCATTCACAATAAAGTTATTTTTACTCCTGTGATTTTAAAATGATTTAGTCTTTCAAACTTTTCAAAATAGCTTAGCTTTTATAAAATTCACTAGCAGAAAAAGCATCTCTTAATACAAAGCAGGAGGTCAGACAAGTTTAAAGTTAGAATGATACCAATTCTTTCTGCATCTTTGTGTATTAGGAAATGTAAACGTAATGTAAAATTGGAATCACGCTTATGGAATCAATTGATAGTTTATATTAAATATGTATAGGGGAAAAAACAAGAAACTCACATTATTATAAAGTTTTGAGAAACTAAAGAAACAATGGTAAGTGTAATGTTGATGTTAATTTAGGAAAATACCCTGGGAATTAATGTGGTAAATCCTGCTATTGTCAATGCTTTTTAAAATTCTTGACACTTAAGAGAAAGAACAAGATACTTTACTATATCAATGATTCTTAGTCTTTGATATGGAAAACCAGCACATTATATGGGGTATTTTATTATCTCAATTACTTTTCCATATTTAGTAATAGTTCAGTAATTAGGGGTGAAATGAATATGCATAAATTGATTAGTGGTAAGTCAACAGAAGCTTTAGTTGAGTACAGTAACTTAACTGTTTATGAACCACTCTAAAAAAAAGTTTAAAAATACATTTACTGTATTAAAATATGTATTACACACACAAACACACATTGTTGGCTATATTACATATGTGCTTTCAAGTTAAATACTCTTAAAAGCCTACATCCTAGTATTAATGATAAGTGTGCATTTAAATAATTTAAATAATAAAAAGTAGTAAATCCAGTTAAATTGCCAGAAAAATACATGTAGTCATGTACTCTTTTCTTATGATGACAAATGTTATTTTAGTTTTTTATTTTTATTTTTTGGTGTTATGATAGCATATTTTTGGTGTCTATACACAAACATTTAAAATATTCTGAATAACGCTGAATGCTTCGTCTACAGAAATAGAAAAATACTTTTATCTTAGAATATTCTTGGGGTTTGTAGCAATATTTGTAGGATTGATTAAAGGTACCCATAGCAAAGTTTTACTTTATTTATGTTTCATTTAAAGAGCACCATTCTCCGAAAGTGTTTTGTACAGCCATAAGAAGATTTACACTCTGATTCATTTAGTGCGTAGCAGAAATAGTTTAATAAATGGTACCTAAGCTAGTAAAAGAGCTTATACAACTTCTCTAACACTTACAATGGTTTAGGTAAACTCTTAGCCAACATTTCATTACTTTAATTGCTAGAAGTTGCAAAAGTTCTCAGGGTAACTGAGAAGGCATGCTAGTGATATGATACAGATTCGTTTTTATGTATTCTTTTAGTTCAATAAGTAATTTTATTAAAACGTAACCATTAATTTATATGGTGATTTTTTCAAATATTCCATCTTAGGATGTTTTCTGAAATTCTTATTTGCTGTAACTATAGATAGATATAGATAGATAGATAGATAGATAGAAAGATAGATAGATAGATAGATAGATAGATAGATAGATAGATAGATAGATAGATAGACAGACAGATACTCTATATAGCTGCTATATATAGAGTGTTGTCTCTCTCAAAAATAGGATGGAATGAGAGGTTATTTAATCTAGGTTTACTTAAAACTGTAATGAAGACTACAGTTGCATAGTGTGGAAAATAATGATGTTTTTCTAAAAAATACTTTCACATTATAAAATTAAAGTTAATTTTGAAAGTTTAATAAATGAGGTTAAAAATTTCAGCTGCGCAGAGTGGCTCATGTCTGTAATCCTAGCACTTTGGGAGGCCAAGGCGGGTGGATTGCATAAGCTCAGGAGGCCAAGACCAGTGTGTGCAACGTGGTGAGATCCTGTCTACAAAAAATACAAAAATTAGCCAGGAGTGGTGGTACCTGCGTGTAGTCCTAGCTACTTGGAGATCTGAGGCAGGAGGGCGAAGTTGGAGGCTGCAGTGAGCTGAGATGGCACCTCTACCCTAAAGCCTTGGCGACAGAGTAACAGAGTGAGACCCTATCTCAACAACAACGACAACAACAACAAAAGGAACATACAATTTCAAGCCAGTGAAATATTTGGAGTTTTCCAAGAGAAAAAAGTGTGTTTGAATTTTGATTAAGAAACAAATTTGTTTCTATGGCTAATTTTCTAAACTCATGACAATCAAGAAATACAAAATGAACATGATTGTAATTTGTAGAATTATTTATTCTTAGTAATCCTGAAAAAGTGAGTAGGAGGAATATTAATTTGGGATTTTAGCTACCTTACGTGTTAAGAATGTACTTTCATAAAAATATGTCTACTTTTACTTACTCTAAAAAGTAAATCATTTATTAGTTGTTATTCCATTGAAAATGCTGTTGTGTAAGATAAAGGAATGATAAAGAAAACTAACATTTATTCAGTTCCACTTAGTCTTTCATGTACATAAAATTATTACTCAAATAGCCCTGTGAAAGTATAAATATTCCCGTTTTATGGCTAAGGTCTGAAGTTTATTCATATTCAATAACTTCACATTATGAAATCAGTAAATGAATAAACTGGTATTTGAAATGAAACTCCTTGATTTCTGTCTTCAAATATTTTAAATTCTGCTTTCAGAAATAGCAGGGTAATTATATATAAAATGCCATAGAATCATCAGAGCAACTTATTGGAAAGTCTTATTCAGTGTGAATAACATCAACAAGTCATTTTCCAATAACTAGTTTATGCAATGTTTTTTCTCAAGAATGAAATGAAAATTAATGACATTATTGAAGGTTATGTATACATTTATTAAATAGGAAGATATATCAAAGGGTAGTGCATGGGGGATTAATTCATTTGTTTTAAAACATATGGTTTTCCTATTAAATGAAATAAATATGGAGGATTTGGAATTGTGAATATTTGAAATTTCTATGAATGAAACGAACCTAATACAGTTTTAAAAATATAACCATTCTATGAGAGGCTGCATGACCAATAATGTATTGAGAAGAAAAGTGAGTAAGGGCAGTGGCTTACTTGAAAAACTGCTAGAGGGTTGCCTTGTTGTGAAACTTCAGGGCACCATTGATGGTGCAATTCAGGTAGATGGCACCCTGTTGGAGTTGTGCAGTACACAGCCTGTGCAGCCATATGCTGCCAATTGAAAGATTCATTCACAAACCTCCATAATGCCCACTTTCTTTTCAGTTTTGACTCTATATTATCTATATATATTTGACAGCCAAAAACAAATATTTCTTAGAAGTGACTACTTTCAAGTATAGAAAACATGCTTTGTATTGTAGTAACTATTGGAAACACATAAGTATTTTAAATTTATTCATCCTAATTACGTTTTATTTAGTTCAGAATTTTATGAGTAAATAAAAATGCATTGTTACTGTTGTATTGAAAATTACCAGTTCCTAATATAATGACTCCAATGTAGGGGTTTGGGTTTGTAAATTCAGAATGCAGAACGATGAACAATTTTATATTCAAAACAAATAACGGCCAGGCGCCGTGGCTCACGCCTGTAATCCCAGGACTTTGGGAGGCCGAGACAGAAGGATCACGAGGTCAGGAGATCGAGACCATCCTGGCTAACATGGTGAAACCCCGTCTCTACTAAAAATACAAAAAATTAGCCGGGTGCGGTGGCGAGTGCCTGTAGTCCCAGCTACTCGGGAGGCTGAGGCAGGAGAATGGCGTAAACCCGGGAGTCAGAGCTTGCAGTGAGCCGAGATTGTGCCACTGCACTCCAGCCTGGGCGAGAAAGCGAGACTCCGTCTCAAAAAAATAAAAATAAAAATAAAATAAATAAATAAATAAATAAAAACAAATAACATCTGGAAATTTAACTTCTACTTTATTTTTCATCTTTTTCCATATTAGTTTAGAACAGTTAATAAAATATTCTGATTAAAGTTTATATTTTATTAATTTGTGATTCTCATACAGTTTGTAAGCACATAAAATAAGAATTTAGCATAAACTTGAAAAAAGTAGTTTACTACTCGTTGGTAGTAAACACATTGGGGAATACATCTTATGAGATGAATCCATGTGTATAACCTAAGCTGACCTATTAGTCCATACCCTATGTAGACCTAATAGTCTGATTCTGTCCAAACTTTAATGCAATTAGTTAGGTTACAATTCTTTTATCTAGATCAGTTCTTTGCAAGTGAGTTTAAATGATAGATGAAGTCTCAATTAAATGCTCTAAGAATACATAAAGGCCAGACTTACAGAGCTGGCTTATAAATAATAAGAAACCAGTTTAAAACCAAATATTATATGTACTTGAACAATCCAATCAGTCATGATTTTCTTGAAATTCTGAAATGTTCCCTTACACAGAGCTTGCAACATTGGTAGTCAGGATTATTCTCTGAGTTTACTAATCAAAATTCCAATCAAATGTACCTGGATTTTCAGGTATAGACTCAAATGCACCAGGATGTTCAAGTAAACATTAGAAGTACTATTTCTGCTTTACAATAACTAGCCAATTACAACTAGAAGAACTGTTTTCAATATAATATTGAAACTTAAGCTGGACTCTTTGCTCTTAGTTCTCAGATGTCATATT